GCAGAGGCTGCAGGTGCGAGCTGCCCTGGGCCCGGGCAGCACCCACCTTGTCTGTGTGGCCGAGGAAGAAGCGCTGCTCCCCCGTGTCCACGAGCAAGACGACGATGACCGCATGGCAGGGGTATACAACAGCCGTCCCGTCTGGGGTCCACAGGGCCTGGCACAAGGGGGCACAGAGCTTAGGACTGGTGCTGTGCCAGGCCCCTCCTGGCTGCTGGGAGGTCAGCTTCACCTCCCACTCCAGCCGAGGGAGAGGGGGTGGCAGGCCTAGCACACACACCTGGGCACACAGCCACCCAGGAACAAGAGAAAACACCCTGCACACACTACACACACGAGTCACAGGCTGCAGATGTCAAAAGAACAGCTGGAACACGCAAGCAGTCACGCGTACACACACGCACAGACGCCTGTCCTCTAAGCCCCGCCTCCAGTGCAAGAAACTCCGGGGTGGGGATAACAAAAAGCCAAAGGGCCCCCAAACACTCAGAGCAGGCACCCAGCAGGGCCTGACAAGGGCCCAAGGCCACTGGGGCAGAGGGGAAGGCCCACCCTCCCTCCTGCCCCATGGGGGCCTACCTGCTTCTCCTCAGAGTAGACGGCCCTCGCCGTACCCATCGAGGGACCGATCACGAGGTTGGTGCTGCCCCTACCAAGCCCGTGGCCCCACCGCTAGGCTGGGTCTGGAGACCATCAGAGCCTCTAAAGACGATGAGGAGGCTCTGGGTCTTCGGGGGGAGCACTTAGCCCAGCCAGTGAGTAAGAGATGCCCGTGACCCTGAGAGCCCCCTGGTACCAGGAGGTGACAGCAGCTGTGGGCGGGGCAGATGCCTGAGCACGCGGGAAGCAGCAGTCTGCAGGGGGACAGGACCGCTGTGCCGAGGGGGCTCGGGAGCCCACACAGCCACCACAGGACATAGGTCTCTCCTTTCTCCCTGTCCCATATCAGCGCTCAAGGCAGCCAACAGGAGCTGCTCTGGACACAGCCACAGGAGCCTCACCTGTCTGGTGCTGTGGCCCCCAAAGCCGATGACGCCCTTGAGCCTCAGGATAGGGTCCGGGAGGAAGCGCTGAAACAGCCATTCACATCAAGGCCCTGGAAGGCTCAGCCAGGCCCCCAGAATGCCCCTGACCGACTCTAGGCCCCGCCAACCCCTAACTGGGTCCTGCCTCTCAAGAAGACTGCCTTGGTCCTGGGTAGCTCCTGCTGGTGTGCTAGGAAGGAAGCTGGGACTCCGGCTGTACTGCCAAACCTTCCAGGGTCCCCCACAGACTACCTGGGGCTGGGGCACTGGGGGTGAGCAGAAGCCCTTCCTCACTCTTTGTGGACAGAGATTCTTCCCCAAAGCTGCCTCCCACCAGCCTCAGGAGGTTGAATCAGAGATCGTCAGAGACACATTCGTCCTGAATGCATCTCGTGGCGGGCTACCAGCTGCCCCGGCCCACACATCGCCGGACCCCGCCTGCTGTGGGATGGGCACTCACCTTGCAGGAGCCGGCGTCCTCAAGGGCCACAGGCACCTCAGTCGACTCGTGAGTCAACACGTGGGTGCCGGCAGCAGCTGTGTGGACGTCAGAGGCCTTCACCCGGGCCCAGGGCTCAAGGCTATGGAAACGGGGGCCATCCGCGTTGGAGGCCTCTGAGCGCTCTTGGGACAGGCTGACCTCTGGGAAGGGTCTGGGTGCCAAGGGGGCCTGGCTGGACTGCTGGGGGACAAGTGCCCATCAGTGCTCTGGGCCATCACGCCCCAACCCCATCTCAGAGGACGAAGGGGATACTCACGGCTGTGGGGCTGGGTGTCTGGACCACTGGAGACACACTGAATCGCACAGGTTTGCTGGAGGCCACTGGGCAAGGGAGAGGGTGTGGCCCCGGCCCCAGGAGGACTACAACAGAGCAAAGACCCCCAGTGACCCAGGGGTGAGCTATGCAGAGTCCTGGTGAAGGTGACGCCTGGGGAGAAGCAGCAGCAAGTGGCCCAGCCTCACAGGCTCTGCAGGACCCACAGCCAGCATCCCACTTCCGCCCTAGGCCCTGAAACCCTTCTCTTCCAGCTAGAAAGCTTGGGGCCCCCAGGTACCCCTCACACAGACCTCTCACCCATGTGGTTCTGGGAGCTCGGACAACCTACAGCCTTCCCTGGGTCCCTGCACCAGCTGCAGCCAGCACACCACTGGGTCCTTTCCCAGCCCTCCCCTCTCCTACCAAGCCCCACGCGCCCTACAGGCCTTAACCTGGGTCCCCGCTGACCCCACAGGCCCACCTGCCTCAGGAGGTGAACCGCTCTTCTCCATCGGCTTGGAAGGCACTTTCAAGCTGTCGCTTGGAAACCTTGGCAGGCAGAGGGACAGTCAGCGTCTGGGGGCCCAAGGGCCACCTACCCTCCCACCACCAAGGCTGCCGTGGAAAAAAGCAGAACCACTCACCGGACATGGACGTAGCGGTCATGCCAGCTCTCGCCCTTGGGCACAGGGAAAGCCATTTCCCGAGGCATAGGAGTGACGGGCAGCTTTGCCCACGGGGCCCCAGAGATGGCTACAAGGAGCAGGGTTGTTCCAGGTCAAGGGAGGCTGTTTGGCCACCTGAGCACGGGGCACCTGCCAAGGCACCGCCATACCACCAGCCCAGCCACCACCCCACCCCCCGGCTGCCTCCGGGATGGGGTTCTGGCCAGAGCTCAAAAACAGCACAGCTTGAATACTGTACTTTCCTAAGCACCCTGGACTCGGGCCTCTCCAGGGCTGACAGCATGGGTGAGACGTGCAGTGGGGAGCACAGGTGCGGCCCTCACCAGGCTCAAAGCACAGGTCGCTGGTGTAAAGGTTCCTGACCAGCAGGCTGGCGCACAGCCTGACGCTCTTGAGATGGCCGTAGCGACGGTTCAGGTAAACCAGGAGAATGTCCTGCAGGTCGAGCTGCAGGAAGGTCCAGCGGGCTCCATGGGGGACCAAACCCACCAGATCTGCAGGACAGGCACTCAGGGTCAGCGCCCACCATCCTGACAGCCCGACTCCCAGAACTGTGAGCTTGTGCCCCCGCCAGGTTGTCCCCCAGGCCACAGAGGAGCCTCCCTGGGCCTGCACCAGCTCTCTCCAGCCGCCTGTCCTGGACCATTCACACCCCATCTCAGTGTCACCTCTCTGGGGTGTCCTGGCCTCCAGGACGAAGGGGAACTGGAGCCGCGTGGCCGTAGATTTAAACTCCTTGAAGAGGTTGGAGAAAGACACACGGATGACCTGGTTGTCCTGTGGGGACGGAGCAGGGCCTTGAGGAGACGGGCCGCAGGGGTGCTGGGGCTCCCATGCAGCCCCCAGCCGCGGGCTCTGTACCTCGGTGGACACATCCAAGTGGATGACGAAGTGCTTGTTGGGCAGGGGCCGAAAGAGCACATACAAGTACCGCCCGGTCAGCCCCAGGGACTGGGTGCTGTTCTTAGGCAGCTGGATGTAGTTGGCGGCAGAGACTGAGCCCCGAATGCGATACACGGCGCCCTTCAGGGTCTTGTCCTGGAGAAGCGGGAGCCCGCGTCACCGTCACCGACGGCAACCAGGAGAAGTGCAGCGGGGGCGAGGGGACCCCTCGGGGGCGGGGCCGTTCTCCCGGGGGCAGGGCAGGGGTGTGGGCTCCGGGCGAGCCCCGGCCGCCTACCGTCACCACGGCCACGTCCCCCTGCTTGGCGGAGCGCTTCCACTCGTCCACCCGGAAGTGTCTGAAGACGTTGAGGAACGGGTGCTGCCACGCTGCGGGGAGCGGGCGGCGGGCGTCAGGGGGCCCAGCCCCGCGAGCCGGAGCCACTGCGGAGCTGGGCCCGGCCTCGGGGACCAGGCAGGAGCCGGTGGGGCCAGGGCTCTCCGCGCCTTCCCCGGCGACGCCAACGCCAGCGAGGCGGGCGGGACGAGTCCGGGCGCCCGAGGGAAGCCAAGCTCCGGGAGCCCGAGGGTGGGCGCCCGGCAGGCGGTACTCTGCCCGAGCGGGGACTCTGGCCTCGGGGCCTAGGCGGGGGCCCTGAGCGCCCCGGCCGCCGACCCTGGACCCCGGAACCCCGGAACCCGGGACCCGCGCCCGCCGCGCGCTACCTCGGGCCATGGCGCCGCTCGAGCTTCCCGCCTTAGCGTCCGCGCGCCCGGCGCGGGACATGCAGCGCGGCGCCTGGCAACGGCTGCCTGACAACGGTGCTACTTCCGCCGTCATGGCGGCACCCTGGCCACGTGACTTCCCCCTTGTAAGCACCCCGCTGACGTCGGCAGCCTCCAGGGTTGCTCCGGCAGCTGACCCCGCTGCCCTATGCCCCGCGGGCCTCCCGAGGCAGCCCCCTGTTAGCCCGACCGGCTTCGAAGCCCGGGCAGGTTGCGGACCCTCCCCCCTGCCCACCTGTCAGCGCCTCGGCCGGGGCTCCTGCCGCGTGCAAGCAGCAAGGCGAGGTCGCACGGAGGCCTGGCCATGCCACGGACAGCCGGGCCTCACCCTGCCGTTCTCTCGCCGTCCGGAGGCCCCTGGTCCACACCTGGGTACCCTGGGTCCTGACTCAGGTGGGCTGGGTCACCCCAGCTCATCAGGGAAGGTAGTGCCGGCGCCCGCGGAGTGCCTGGTTCCCGTGCTCGTCCTGGCAGGTTCCCCACGCACTCCTTCGCTCAGTGTCCCGCGGCCGGGCCCGCGGATTCAGAATGGGGCCTGGCGTTCTGAGACATAGCCCCAATCCTGGTGGTGGGGGGAGGTGGTCAGGACCTTTTCATGTCTTTAGGCCTTGAGTCTCGGCTCTGGTCCCAGTCAACGCCAACGGGAGAGGAAGGAGGTGCAAAGTGGGGTACACAGACTTCCAAGCAAGGTGAGCTGGCCAACGTTCCCCCCACCTGTCAGAGGGCAGCTGGGTGAGAAGCCAAGGGCCTGAGGGGACAGGGCTACAAGGGGAGTTTGTGCTGGGCCTGGTGTCCCAGGCTGCGGACTGGAACTGGACATGAGGACTCCCTTACACCCTCCCAAGTCAAAGACACTCCAAAAAGGCAGTTTCTCGACTTTATTAGCCTGGAGCTCCTCCCCACCAGCCCCAGGGGCCGGTCGCTGGTCCCTGGGCACAGTGAGCAGGGCTGAGGTCAGATGGGTTCGGCCCCTGGCCATGGCAGCTTGGTTGGGACAGCCGGGCCAAGGGAACAACAGGTGCAAAAGTCCAAATGCTGGCACTTCAGGTGTGGCCGGCACCCAGCCAGGCGCGGTGGGTGGGTGGGGCATCATGCTTCTCTCCTGGCCACAGGTCGGCTGTGCAGCAGCGCCCTCTCCCAACAGCCACTAGGAACAGCTGGTGATTCTCGCCAGGAACTGTTGTGCCCACCACTCGTCCAGGTCAATGGGCACGAAGTCTGTGGGCAGAGAACGCTGGGCAGTGATGCTGCCTCCCAGGCTGGCCAGCATCTCTCCCCTGGAGCTAACCACAAGCCACTCACCCGGACTCTGAGTGCAGCAGGCGCTGGGAAGAAGTTTCTGCACAAGAGTCCCCTCCCTCATCCCCTGGGGTGGGAACCTGGCAGGGCCTGGGTCAGGATCAGAGGGACTGGGGGGTTTTTCCTGGGGGGACAGGGTTGGGGGGCTCACTCTGCAGCCGGGGATTGGGGGTCCTCTCCACGTACTGCACAGGCCTTGGCCTGCCCTCACCGGCTGGGCCACCATCCAGCTGCTGCTGCACCTGCTGCCAGGCTGTGGGAGGAGGGCAGTCGGGCTGAGCCAGGTCCCAGGCACCCCATCGCCCACCCAGGGCCTGATGGTCACCCTGGACTCCAGCCCCACACAGGGCTGGTCACAGGACACAAGGGCAGAGTGCCAAGGAAAAGCATAGCCCTGCAGCGGCTGGGGGTCAGCTTGAAGTGGGGCCATCCCGGGTCCATGTTACTGCACCCAGCAGCCTGGGCCGCACCCTCTGGCCCCGCTCGCTACCTTCGGACACAAAGCGGACATTCTCCTCGTGGGCCAGTGTGTAGGTCTCCTGGGTCCCCTCGAGGGATGGGGACGTGGAGGGGGCCCGCCGGCCATTCACACGATTGAACACAAGCCTTGGCCCTGGACTGCAGGAAGGGAGGAGACGGACATGGTTGGTGCCCGTCCCAGGCCCGGTGCTGCCTGGCAGAACTCAGGAGCAGCCCCGGGCCAGCCCACTGTCCCCAGACCCGGCCAGCCTAAGCACTTCCTGAACCCCGGAGAGCAGCCACCTGCAGCAGCCAGTGGCCCAGGCCTCTCTCTTGCAGGCCCCAAGTCATCGGCAGCTCAGCTTACACCTGCAGCCCTCTGCCCTGAGGGAAGTGAGTGACTGTAGGGTGGGGGCCTCAGTCTTGGTGTCCCAGACCCCTGGTCAGGCCCCACTCCGTGCCCCTCCAAGGGTCTTGCAGGTGCCCGTGCTGCCACCTGCATCCCATCAGCAGCCCAGATTCTGACCTGAGCCACGACCCGGTCCATGACCATGTCTCTCTGCCCCAAACCCCCACTCTGGGTGCGATTCTAGGCCACATTCTCACCCCACAGAAGCGCCTCCATCTCCATGATGTTTCCCTCCGTGGACGGATGGACCTGGACGGGAACGAGGGGCTTCTGCCCTCTCCCTGGCTGCCCCCAGGTCCCATGGGATGAGCACTGGGTGCCGGGATAGGCAATCCCTGAGTGGGGAGAGTGACTATAACCCTCACTCACTCCCCACCAGCCCGAGACAAGGGGTGATGCCAAATGAGATGGCTCCCGCAGTGCCGCACGCAACATCTAGCAGGTCCCTGGGCCCGTCCAGGCCAGCAGGGCCTAGGGCAGGGATGGGCGGCCCCAGCTGGCCAAGCCCTGAGCACACAAAGCCCGGCACAGGGCTGTGGAGGGAATGGGGCCGCACCTACAGCCGGAGGTGGGAGCCGGGAGTCCTGGGCTGCGCCTGCTCCGCCAGGCACTCGCGGTCCCGGCCGGCCTGCTTGCCTTCCTGGGCTCAGGTGCCCCAGCGCCGCTCTCGGTTCCTCCTCAGCTGAGAGGGGCACTAAAATAAAGAGGAGCGTCTTGAGGGGCGCAGGGTCCCGCCGGCCCCAGGGCTGGCAGGGTCTGGTGGCCGCAGAGGATCTTAAAACGTGCAGGTGGTGGAGATGGGACAGGGGCAGGGGCACCGGCACCTCCCAGGCCTGCCCGCTGCCTGAGTTTCTGCACAAACCAGAGGAAATAAAGTTTGTCCACTTGGAAAGCCCTCTTGCCTGCAACCCACTCCCATCTTGGAAAGCCAAAATCTCCAAGAAAGCTTGGCGGTTGGATTATCAATGTCTAAGAAGAGAAGAACATTGCCAGGGGCTGTGAATCGCAGGGCGGAGGTGGCGGCCCTCGGGCTGAGATGGGCCCCGGGAGGCAGGCACCGCCCCAGGGGCTCTGGTTATGTAAGGCTGCGGCTCTCTGGGGGAAAGGGCACCCACCCAGCGTGCACCTGTGGACCACTGCCAACCTCTCCCACTTCCAGGGACACTGCTCCGGGCAAACTTCAGCCCAGGGAGCTGAAGGCTGTGGAGTGTATCCTTTCATCTCCCCTCCACAGTTCACCCTTTTTTCAGCCCATGAAGCTGGGCTTGGGAGAGAATCCACCTGAGCACACCACATGCTGAGTGGGGGCAACGCTAGGATATCATCGCAAATCCAACAACAGAGTCCACAGCCCTGACCTAGTACAGCCCCCAAGCCAACCCCCCAGCCTGCCCTCACTGGGCCTCAGACCCCCCCGTCTCTCGCAGGCTGCCCCTTCTCGCCCTGTGGGGTTCATCCCATTGTCCCTTCCTGTGGCAGTCCCCATGCCCTCCATCTGCCCTGGGGTCAGGTGACCACATGGCCCCATTTCATCTCCTCAATGACTTATATCACCTTAGTTTATCTTACTGCCTCCCGACCCGTCTCCCACCAGGAGAAAGAACTTTTCAAAGGTGTATCTGGGCAGGGCCTGGTGGCTTACGTCTGTAATCCTAGCACTTTGGGAGGCTGAGGAGGGCGGATCGCCTGAGGTCAGGAGTTCAAGACCAGCCTAGCCAACATGGTGAAACTCCATCTCTACTAAAAATACTAAAAATTAGCGAAGCATGGTAGCGGGCACCTGTAATACCAGCTACCCGGGAGGCTGGGGTTGCACTTGAAACCTGGAGGGGGAGGTTGCAGTGAGCCGAGATCACGCCACTGCACTCCAGCCTGGTGACAGAGCAAGACTCCGTCTCAAAAACAAACAAAGGTGTATCTGGCCTGTCACCGTCATGGGCAGTGCCCAGACCCGTACCTGGCAGGAACCAGAGCCAGCACACGTCGTGGATGACAAGACTTGACCCTCCGGGTGCACCAGAGGAGACGCGCAGGGACCCTGACACCCTCCTCCTGCGCCCAGTCAGTGAGGGATGAGGAGTAGCGAAAAGCAGCAAGGAGAAAAAAAGGCAGGGCAGGGCCAGGCACAGTGGCCCACGCCTATAACCCCAACGCTTCCACAGGCCAAGGCGGGAGGATTGCTCGAGCCCAGGAATTGAATACTAGCCTGGGCAACATAGTGAGACCCATCTGCATAAGATTTAACAATTCACCAGGTGTGGTGCTCGCCTATCGTCCCAGCTACCCAAGAAGTTGAGAGGTGGGAAGATCACTTGTACCTGGGAGGTTGAGGCTGCAGTGAGCCATGACTGCACCACTGCACCCCCCGGCCTGGGTGACAGAACAAGACCTTGTCTCAGAAAGAAAAAAATAAAACGAGGCAGGGAGATGGGTGGCAGCGTGGGGTGGGGTGGTTCAGAGGGAAGGGGGTTGGTTGGCCAGGCACGGTGGCTCACACCTATAATCCCAGCACTTTGGGAGGCCGAGATGGGCGCATCACTGGAGGTTGGGAGTTCGAGACCAGCCTGACCAACATGGAGAAACCTTGACTCTACTAAAAATACAAGATTAGCTGGGTGTGGTGGCACGTGCCTGTAATCCCAGCTACTCAGGAGGCTGAGGCAGGAGAATCGCTTGAACCTGGGAGGCGGAGGTTGCGGTGAGTGGAGATCCTGCCATTGCACTCCAGCCTGGACAACAAGAGCGAAACTCCATTTCAAAAAAAAAAAAAAGACAGAGGGAAGGTGGTTGCCCCAAGAAGGTGCAGGAGCAGGGTGGGGGCTTCATGCAGAGGTCCCACTGCTGCCAGAAGCTCCCAGCACTGGGGCCTGGGGGTGGGGAGGTGGGTGACCCCAGGGAGCAGAGGGCAGCACACACCCTGCCCTGCCCAGGGCTCCTCCAGCCCTGCCGCACATGGGGTGAAGTCCACTCAACTCCCACATGTCTCACTGGCTGACAGAGGACCTCAGATGGGGACTTTAATAGAACAGGCCGGGTGCGGTGGCTCACACCTGTAATCCCAGCACTTTGGGGGGCCGAGGCGGGCAGATCACGAGGTCAGGAGATCGAGACCATCCTGGCCAACATGGTGAAATACAAAAATACAAATTAGCTGGGCATGGTGGCAGGCGCCTGTAGTCCCAACTACTCAGGAGGCTGAGGGAGGAGAATCGCTTGAACCCGGGAGGCAGAGGTTGCAGTGAGCTGAGATCGCACCACGGCACGCCAGCCTGGGCGACAGAGCAAGACTCAGTCTCCAAAAAAAAAAAAGAGAGACAACAGCCAGTGGGCCTGGTGTTGCCCACTGGGACCCTTGAGGTTCCAAGGGGAGGCCACAGTGGCTGGACTGAGGCGCCTGTGGTCTTGGGAGGGCACTGGGTTAGGAAAGGCAGAAGCAACCACAGGGGAGGAGGCCCCATTGCCCCTGGGTGTCTGGGGTGAAGGCCGGAGGAGGGCAGAGGCCCTGCCCGACGGAAGCACACGCACGTCTCCCCCACTGAGCTCTGCAAGGGCAGAGCCGGGAGACCTTGAGGAGCAGCGCCCGGAGCTCTCCGCGAACGGTGGCCTGGGCCTGCTGCACGTCAGGGTTCCAGCCGCCGCCCAAGGTCGCTCGAAGCGCCGGCCTCGGCCGATGGAGGCCCCCGCGACCCAAGAGCGGGCCGGCTTTTTCCCCGCTGGGGGCCCGGGCCCGGCCAGGTGAGGCGGCAGCGCGAGGCGCACGCCCGCGGGCGCGTAGTGGGCAGGACCCGCGCACCCCCCGCCGCCGGAGCGCTCGCCGCGCTCGCCCCGCCCGCAGCACGTGGCCGGACCTCACTAACATTTCCCCCAAGGTCACCCTCCGCGCCAGGGCGGCCGGCGGGGGAGGGGAAGCCGGGCCGGGCCGGGGCCGCTCGCGTCTCACCTCGACAGGGGCCAAGGTCCCGGCGGCTGCGCGAAGGGCTGCGCCCGCGGGGGCTGCGAGGTCGGCGGCGCGGGCTGCCGGCATTTCAGGAGCTCGCCGAGCCGGCCCTCCACCTGCTGCTGCGTGGGACCTGCGGGAACCGGAGGGCGGTCAGCTGCCGCCGCGCCCTGCCCCGTCCCCGTCCCCGTTCCCCGGCCCATGCGCACCTGTGCGGCGCTGCGCGACCAGCTTGCTGGGCCCCTTGGTGATGGTGTACATGGCGCGCCGCTTCCACACCACCGCCGGCCCCCGGCCAGATCCGGCCCCTGCGCCCGGGCTCGCACTTAACGGACGGCGGGCGCTGCGGGGAGGGGGCGGGCCCGTCACACGCCCCCGGCCCTTAAAGGGCCCGCACGGGCTCGGGCCAACCCCGGGACACGCGGCGGAGGCAGCGCTCGGGCCCTTTGGGAAGCTGGCAGGCGGGGGCGGAGCCGGCAGCAACCCCGCCCCAGCCCCCGGCGGCGCGAGGCCAAGGCGGACGAAGCGCCCTGCGGCCCGGGAAAGGCCTTGCTGCCTGGAGGCTAGGTGAGTCCCGGGGCACCGGACTCAGACTGCTGGCGGCAGGTCCCAAGGGCCCTGCGGGGTCAGCCGCGATGTGCGAGCAGGGTCCTGGGAGCCCCAGGGCCCACCTTTGACAGGCGTTGGAGGAAAACCTGTGCTGGGGGTCCCGGTGCTGAGGGGCCCTGTGCTAGAGGATCCCTGTGCTGGGATTCCTGTGCTGGGGGGATTCCTGTGCTGGGGGGATTCCTGTGCTGCGGGTCTCTGTACTGGGGGCTCTGTGCTGGAGGTGTCTGTGCAAGGGGGCTTTGCTGGGGGGTTCTACACTGGGAGGCTCTGTTGGGCATCTGCTGGGGAGCTCTGTGTTGGGGGCTCTGTGCTGGGGGACTCTGCTGGGGCGCTCTGTACTGGGGGACTCTGCTGGGGGCGTCTGTGCTTGGGGGCTCTGTGCTGGGGAGCTCTGTGTTGGGGACTGTGCTGGGGAGCTCTGTGTTGGGGACTGTGCTGGGGGGCTCTGTTTTCGGGGCGTCTGTGCTGGAGGGCTATATGCTGGGGAACTCTGTGTTGGGAGCTCTGTGCTGGGGGAGTCTGTGCTGGGCTGCTTTGCGCAGAGGCTGTAGGCAAGCCTCTTGGGGAGCCTCAGCCAAGATGCCTGCAGAGGCCTGAGCCAGTGTGAAGGGTCACCCTTGGCTTGGGTCTTGGGACTGGATCTAAGAAGAGGAAAAGGGAATCATCCCCCTGGACTTGCGTAGAGACATGATGCCCTGGGAGTCTCCCACCCCAGGAGTCAGAACCCTGGCTGCACTCTGCCCCACGTCCTGGCCCCCACGCTGAGGTGCCTCTTCGGCCCTTGTAGCTCCTGTACCCGCCCCACAGATGCGAGAATGTAGCAGGCCAGGTCTCACTAACACAGGCCTCCCTAACATAACAATTATTTCAATGCGGAGTGGTTAAATATTAAAAGCTAAGCTGTGCAGGAGCAGTGGCTTACACCTGTAATCCCAGCACTTTGGGAGGCCCAGGCAGGTGGATCACCTAAGGTCAGGAGTTCGAGACCAGCCTGGCCAATTTAGTGAAACCCCATCTCTACTAAAAACAAACAAAAAACAATTAGCCGCGCATGGTTGTGGGCACCCATAATCCCAGCTACTCCAGAGGCTGAGGCAGGAGAATCACTTGAACCTGGGAGACAGAGGTTGCAGTGAGCCGAGATCATGCCACTGCACTCCAGCCTGGGCAAAAGAGTGAGACTCCATCTCAAAAAAAAAAAAAAAAGAAAAAGAAAAGAAAAATGCCGGGTGTGGTGGTGCGCACCTGTAGTCCCAGCTACTCGGGAGGCTGAGACAGGAGAATCACTTGAACCTGGGAGGCGGAGGTTGCAGTGAGCCAAGATCACATCTGCACTCCAGCCTGGGTGACAGAGCAAGACTCCGTCTCTAAAGAAAAAAAGCCAGCGCCCTTCCTCAAAGGCTGGAATGTAACAAAAGCCCACCAAGAGTTGTGCCCAGTCCTCCTCTGGGCCTTGAAGCATGACAAGATAATGAAGAAATTCTTTTTTCTTTTTTTCTTTTTTTTTGAGACGGAGTCTCGCTCTGTCGCCCAGGCTGGAGTGCAGTGGTGCAATCTCGGCTCACTGCAAGCTTCCCCTCCCAGATTCATGCCATTCTCCTGCCTCAGCCTCCTGAGTAGCTGGAACTACAGGCGCCTGCCACCACGCCTGGCTAATTTTTTGTATTTTTAGTAGAGACGGGGTTTCACCTTGTTAGCCAAGATGGTCTCGATCTGCTGACCTCGTGATCCGCCCACCTCGGCCTCCCAAAGTGCTGGGATTACAGGTGTGAGCCACTGCGCGTGGCCAGGAATTCTTAATAGGACCCATTTAGGATTAAACAAGTTTATTGGGGGTCTGAAGAAACTCTCCAGGCCTCCACAGACAAGTTTATTGGGAGCCCGAAGGAACTCTCCAAACCTTCATGATTTCGCAGCAGACAAGATTAAGTCAGTTTACTGAGGTTCCAGAGGAAGGTCTTCAGAACTCAGACCTTAATTATAGATTAAAAGAAGTTAATCACTTGGCCGGGCTCGGTGGCTCACGCCTGCAATCCCAGCACTTTGGGAGGCCAAGGTGGGCGGATCACGAGGTCAGGAGATAGAGACCATATTGGCTAACACAGTGAAACCCCGTCTCTACTAAAAATAGTGAGCCGAGATCACACCGCTGCACTCCAGCCTGGGCAACAGAGCAAGACTCCGTCTGCAAAAAAAAAATTAAAAAGTTCATCACTTGTGTCTTTAGATGAATGCATACTTACACATAGACATGCAGCTTGAAAGGTACATAACCTCTGGAAAACTTTGTAATTTGAGTTGGTGGCGGGAATTTCCAGGCCTTCTGCCTGTAACTGGTTGCAGAAATAAAAACCCTCTTCCTCCCCAGTTTACTAGAGCACGAGAAACAGCAGCCCGACTCTCGGTTTGGTCCAGCAACAAGAGGAGACTCTGCCTGTGCCAGTGTCAGGGCCTGAGGTGTCCAGTGGCCCCCACATTCTCCGAGGAGAGGTCAGGGATGCTGTGGCTGAAATCGGCGCTGTGGCGGGTGGGCGGCGGGGCCCAGAGTCTTTGTCTAAATCTCCAGGCGAGGAACATGCACCACATGGAGGGGTGAGGGGACGCTCTTGGTAGTGGGGGTGTCAGCCCGAGGAGCCCCCACCCCATGCACTGGCCCTGCTTCTCTTCTCTTCTGGGAGCTCCAGGCTTACTGGGAAGCCCTCAGGGCAGCTTCTGACCCAGATGGCCCTTGGCCCTGCACCCGTCCTCAGCATGGCTGAAGAGCTGAAGGAGAGAGGTTTCCATCCCCAGCTGCCTTCTCTGCAGGGCTGGGCCAGGCCTGTGGCCCTGAGGGCAGAGGAGCTGGCGAGCCACATTCAGGGAGGCCAAGCCTGACATGTCCCCTAGGAAGGACTCCTCGCGGACTGCCTCTTTTCTGCCTGCTGCCCCCACCTTCCCCACTCCCCCACTTCCCCTCCCCCCACCAGCACCAGGCAGTGTGTCCTTCAAGGAAGGCCAGTGTGATCCCCCGCCATCTGTGCAGCCTGTGTCCTGCCCAGGCTTCTCCCAGTGGCCTTCAGCACAATCACACACAGGCCAGGGAGGCAGGACAGGGTGCTGGGGCCCCTGTGGCCTGAGGGCATGTGATCCTTCGGAAAACCTGGCAGCAAGGAGCAGCTGGGTTAGAGTGAGGGCGGTGCTGGGGAGGGAAGCTCCATGTGGGGAAGGGCATAACCCGAGCTCACACAGGCTCCCGAGGGTGGCCCCCCACCCTTGGGGCCCACTGCAGGCGGCAAGGACAAGCTGGACTGGCCCAGAGCCCAGCAGCCCTAGCCTTTGCTTCAGCCAGGAGGCCCAAACATCCAGCCCCAACAATAGGCCACATCTGAGGTCAAAGCTTGGGTCCAGCAGCCCTCATAAGGGCTCCCTGGGAGGAGCAGTGGGCAAAAAGGGATGGGGGCAGGAGGCGAGGCCAGGGGTCCTCAGGGCAGCAGGGAGCCGAGGGAGCTGAAGAAGGCAGAATGCCAGATGGTGAGGGCCGGCAGCTGAAGTCCTTGGCACCTGCCCAGGGGTGGGCTGGTCTGCCCCAGAGGGGCCCTCCTGGCCCCACTTGACCTGAGGACAGCTGGCAGGGCTCCCATGCTTACGTGGCATCCATGGGGCCTGGGCAGGGACCCGAGAGGTCAGGTCTGGATGTGCCCCCAGCTCAGCTGCAGGGGCCTGGGGCCAGTTGGAGTTGGACAGGAGCCCTCGCCAGCCCGGCACAGGCTGTGGCTCCTGGTGAGGTCAGCATCCCACCGTCTGGTCCTGCCTACCTTCCCCTGGACAGACACTGTCCTGGTGTGTGAAGCCCTCACAGAGGCCATGTTTCCGGTGGCAGGGGAGGGGGACAGGGCCTGGAGCAGGACAGCTGGATGGAAGGGGCCTCCCCCAGCATGCAGGGTCCTCACAGACCCCAATCATCCTAATAAAAAAGTACTTTTTTCCCTCTTGAAAAAGGTTCTAGTTATGATACTAAGATTTTATGTAAAAAGTGAACAAAGCTCAGCTTTTCGGTCATCCTCTGTCGGTTTTCCACATCTAAAACCCATGCCCTGACCCACCCAGACTTGAAGACAGGTTCCTTCAAGGCTCTAGCTCGGGTTCTGCCGAGGGAGGAGGCAACCACTGCCACCCCAGAAAAGGCTCTGGCTGGAGTCTGCCACTCAGTTTGTTTGGGACTGTTCAGCCTGTTCCCAGATCCAGTGGTGGCCCCCCAAAAATACATCCACCTGGAACATCAGAATGCAACCGTATTTGGAATGAATTTTTGCAAATATAATCAAGGCAAGGATTTTGAGATGAAATCATCTGGGGCCAGGCGTGGTGGCTCACGCCTGTAATCCCAGCACTTTGGGAGGCTGAGGTGGGCGGATCACCTGAGGTCAGGAGTTCGAGACCAGCCTGGCCAACACGGCGAAACCCGGTCTCTACTGAAAATACAAAAATTAGCTGGGCGTGGTGGCGGGCACCTGTAATCTCAGCTACTTGGGAGGCTGTGGCAGGAGAATTGTTTGAACCTGGGAGGCAGAGGTTGCAGTGAGCCGAAATTGTGCCACTGCACTCCAGCCTGGGCAGCAGAGCGAGACTGTGTCTCAAAAAAAAAAAAAAAAACATCTGGGATGAGGGTGGGCCCTAAATCCTATCACAGGTGCCCTTGCAAGACAAAGGAGAGGGAGATTTGGGCACAGACACGGAGAGGACAAGGCTGCATAAAGACTGGAAGATTGGAGTGACGTGGTCACGAGCCCAGGATCACCTGGGGCCGCCAGATGCTAGAAGAGGCAGGAAGGACTTTCTTGCAGGGCCTTTGGAGGGAGCTGACACCTGTGTCTTGCGCTTCTGGTCTCCAGAACTATGAGGAAATAAGTCACCAAGCTCTGGGGTAATTTTCTACGGCAACCACCAAAACTCAGATGCCAAGGATAGTGGTGGGGGGTATGGAGACGGAAGGGGGCTGCAGAGGGCTTAGGAAGGACACTCAGGACCCCAGGGTGGGGTCCAGAGAATGGGGCACATGGCACTGGACCCCAGGAGAGGAGCTGGACCCTGCTGTTGGACCTGAATGCCATGGGCCTGGATTCCCAGGATAGCCTCTGAGGGTGTGAGGACAGGTGCGGGTGGGGCTGTGAGCCCTCCAGGCCCTCTGGCAGATGAGGCTGAGGAGCTAAGGCGCAACAGGATTTGCCCCTCCTTAGGCATCCCCGAGCACCTCCTGTAAGCCAGACCCCAAGACGGATGGGTCAGGCAGACTCCTGGAGCGGGAGGTGCAGCAAAGGGGTCCTATCCTTCCCAGGAGGACGTGTTCAGGGACTGGGCGTGAGCATCAAGGCCAAGGCCAGCAGGTGCTGCTGTGTGGGCAGGACCAGGACTCCATGTCCCTCCCAGCGTGGAATCCAGAGCCCGGGGTGCTCGCGGCACTGGTATTTTATCGCGTAGATAAACACACACTGGGAAGGGTGGCCTGTGTCACAGTCCCTTCCACCCAGGGAAAGGTAGGTTCTTCAAGAGGGGCTTTGGGGAGCCAAATTCAGTCTCAGGAGAGGCTGAGCGATAACCCAGCTTCTACAGCTTTGACCTCGGCTACCCAAGGGGGGACACCACCAGGAGTGGCAGGGACTGGGGGATCCTTCCAGGGAGCCATGTTTGGCATCCCGTGGGGATCCCAGACCCCTGCCAGCCACTGACACGCATCCACGACTTCCCAGAGAGTGTGTGCTCACATGTGGCCGCTGCAGCACACGCCTCCACTCAGACATCCAGTCTGGCTGCTGCCCTACCAGGCTCTGAGCTTGGGGGGCGCCGAGGGCAGGTGTGGCCTACCCAGCATGCATCCCCAAGTCATGAGCGTGCAGGCCAGCACCAGCCTGAGGTCAGGCAACACTAAACCTGCCATGCGCTGGCCGTTGTGGGCAGCTCCTGAACACTGCTCCATTCAAGGGGAGAAGCAGGGAGGCCCAGAGAGACTGATCTCGGGCTCCTCTTTCCTGTGTCTAGGGAAGCACAGGTGAAACCTGGGTGAGGAGAGGTGCCTGGACCCCAGGAGAACCCCTGGTCATCACAGGCCCCTCCTCCTGGTGCTCCCCTCGAGGTGGGGGTTGGGGGCAGGGGGCACGTTGAAGGAGGCACAGGGAAAGTCCTCAGCCCACAGAAGGAGAGATGGAGGCGGCCAGTCAGGCGAGGAAAGCATGGGCTTGGGCTGAAGAGCCTGCTGCAGAGTCTGCCCAGTCACCACCACGGCGGACACCAACATCCCCTGGCAGGGCTGTCCCTGACCCCTGACTCCCTGAGCGCCCCATGGCCCACGTTCCCAGTCCCAGACTGGCAGACTGTAAGCCACTCTCCTGCCCTGAGCCACGTAACTGGCCCTCCCTGGTTTGCCCCTTCCAACGTCCTCGCCCTAGCCAGAACGATGTCGGATATGGGGTTCCCATTGCTGAAAAATGGCCCAGCAAAGGCGCTAAGACAGTCCTGACTGCAGAGTCAGGCGCTGGGCACTTTCTGGAGCAGGCCCGGCTCTGAGGCTGGGACCCCAACCCTTGGGCGCACACAAATCGCGGCCTGTGACTTGATTTCGGGGGTCACCGACAGACCCTTCACACTATCCGTGAGCCCCGAGCTGGTGCTGTTACCCCAGTGTCACAGAGAAACCCTGGGGCACCATTGGTGCCCCTCCCGCAGGCCCCCCAGTTCCTGCAGGCTGGGACTGCCCGCCCCGCCCTCTGCCGCCCCTGCCACCCCCGCCCCGCTCTGGCCCCGCCCCAACCCGCCCCTCCACACTCATGTCCCACCCCACCCCTCCCTAGCCCTGCCTCCTCTCTCGGACCCGCCCCGGTGTGGCCCCGCCCCTCCGGCAACCCCGCCCAAAACTCTTCCCAACGGGGGCCCCAGCCCTGGCTCGCCCTCTCCCCGTCCCGCCCTCTCCCCAGCCCCGCCCCGACAGGGCCCCACTCCCATCGACTCACGAAGGCTAACGGTTTCCATGGCTCAGGCCCGAATCGAGACTGTCCTCCAGCCCGCGTACCTCACGCCCGCTCCTTCCCCTCGGGCGCTGGGGGGCACCGCGAGACTCCCACTGCCGCAGCCTCGCCAGCTGGGTCTTCCTAGGCAACCACTAGCTCTCCTGCGCGGAGCCTGGCTCCAGGGGCGGCGCATGCGCGGAGGGATTCTCGCGTCACAGTCTCTTGGGCACACGGGCGGCACCAATAGCAGACAGCGCCGCTGGTGTAGTGGTATCATGCAAGATTCCCATTCTTGCGACCCGGGTTCGATTCCCGGGCGGCGCAGCTTGTTTTCTTTTTTTCCCATTTGAACAATGAACTCTAGCTAACGCCAGAGATTTATAAAGGAAAGAAAACCGGAAACCAAGGGAAGGCGTCCAGTCTAGCGCAGCGCTGACACATTTCGGAGAGTGACAGGTACCCTGGACGGCCATAGGCGACAGGGTCCCTGAGCTGAGGTGCCTGTAAACCAGCAAGCCAAACTCGCCGTCGAGTCCCCTGCCCGGGGCCGCCACCCACCGCCGAGCCGCTCCCCACCGTGCCTCTGGCGGCTGCGGGTCCTTTAACGAGAGGTGGGGGTGCTCCTGGGAGTTGTAGTTTATCAGCTCCCGACGCGTCCCGCGGCATCTGGACTACAGCTCCCGACATGCCCCGCGGGAGCCCGGCCACCGCCCCCGACGCGACCAGCGCCGGTTCTGCAGCTGGGAGGAGTTGCGGCCGCGATGCTGGTGGCGGCGGCCGCGGAGCGGAACAAGGAGCCCATCCTGCACGTGCTACGGCAGTACCTGGACCCGACCCAGCGCGGCGTCCGCGTACTCGAGGTGGCCTCGGGCTCCGGCCAGCACGCGGCGCACTTCGCGCGGGCCTTCCCCCTGGCCGAGTGGCAGCCGTCGGACGTGGACCAGCGCTGCCTGGACAGGTGCGGCCCCCGGGGCGGCCACTCCGATCGGTGCGGCCGGCCGGAGCCTCAAGAGCTCCTGCCCCGCAGCCCCGGAGGAAAAAGATGCGGCTCGGGCTCTGAGGGTGCGGGGTGGGAGCTGGGGGTGCCCCCGGGGCAGGCCCCAGATGTGTGGCCCCCGCGGCTGCGGAAGTGGGTGGGCCTCGGGGTCCCCTTTCCCAGCTGTTTTGGCCTTCACTTCGCAACGTGCCCCCCAGCCTCCCCTTAGAAAGTCTGTAGGGGCGTCGGAAAGGCGGTTGCGCAGGACTCGGCCTCCACCCAAGCCTTCCCCTCCTGCAGCATCGCGGCCACCACGCAAGCCCACGGTCTGACCAACGTGAAGGCCCCGCTGCACCTGGACGTGACGTGGGGCTGGGAGCACTGGGGCGGGATCCTGCCGCAGTCGCTGGACCTGTTGCTGTGCATCAACATGACCCACATCAGTCCCCTGTGCTGCACGGAGGTCTGTGGGGGGCCCAGCAAGGGCATCTGCCCTGGCGTCCCTCACCCTGCATGGGGGCAGCCAGCATGCCAGATTTGCCCCTACCACAGTCGGGGTGAGGGTCTGCGGCCTCAGGCCTTGGGTTCTTTTGGGGGCAGCGCCTCACTGCCGTCCTGTTCCCTACTCCCCAGGGGCTCTTCAGAGCAGCAGGACACCTGCTCAAACCCAGAGCCCTGCTCATCACCTACGGGGTGAGTGGGCCTCTCCAGGGCGGGCCTCCCGCTCAAAGTCCTAGCTGCTCTCTCCTGCCCTACTCAGAGTCCTCCCTCCTTGGCTCCCTGCCCCCCACCCAGCCACCAGCATGGCCTCCCCTCCACTTCCACTCTGCACCCCTTCCCGGGTCACCTGCCAGCCTCCCTACCCCCTTGCCCACCAGCCTGGCCTTGGCTGACTCCCTCTTGGGGACAGGGAGGGGGTGCCCGTTTCATTCTCCGGACCCCAGCCTGCAAGTCTGTCCCGGGCTCTCTGGGAAACAGCCAACCTTGGTCCAGTGGGCTGTGTCCCCATCCCCGCAGCCCTATGCCATCAACGGGAAGATCTCTCCCCAGAGCAACGTGGACTTTGACCTAATGCTCAGATGCAGGTCAGAGCTAGTGGCAGGGGGTCTGGCTCAGGTGGCAGGTGGCTTGGGTGGCACCCCCCCCCAGGCCACGACTGCATCTCCCCCCGCTCTGCAGGAACCCGGAATGGGGCCTTCGGGACACAGCCCTCCTGGAGGACCTGGGACAGGCCAGTGGCCTGCTCCTGGAGAGGATGGTAGGTCGGGGAGCGGGGGCCCAGGCAGCCTCTCTAGGGGTTGAGGGCCGTCCTCCAGTAAAGCATTTCTCCAGGTGGACATGCCAGCCAACAACAAGTGCCTGATCTTCCGGAAAAACTAAGCCCCTCCTTCACCCCGCACACCTGCATCCCTGCCGGAGGCTCTGTGGGGCACAAACCCTGCCTCCCTAGGCTGGGCCTTGTGGATAACAGCCCCACCCAGTCTGCGCTCTCAGCCAGTGGCTGAAAGGCTCAGCCTGCTCAGAATAAAGCATTTCCTGCTGCCGGCTTGCTGGTGTCCGCCCCACCTCCTCCTAGGAGCACCTTGTGAGGGTGGGTGGGAGACGGGGTCTCCTGTGGGGTCAAGGGCTTGGGACGTCCTGGTCCTTGCTGCTGGAGCTTGGGCAGCGGGAGTGGGGCCAGGACAGCTGCTGAGGCAGGATGGAGCTGGTGGGGGATGCAGGGGTGGACTGGCGCTCCCTGGTGACCTTGTACCAAAGCCCAAGCCCCAGTGGGTGGCAAGGCCCCAGCAGAAACTGGCTGGGAATGGGGCGCCTGGAAGGGTGAGGGTCGTTTGACCAGCAGCAGCAAGCCAGGGGGTCTGGGGCACAGTGAGCGCGTTTATTCAGCAGGACGGGGCGGCGGAGGCCGCCCGTGGGGGCTAGTCCTGGAAGCGGTTGAGCAGCTCGCAGGCCTGCTTCTCCAGCAGCTCCAAGATTTTCTTGACGCGCTTCTCGCTGGCGGCGCGGACGTAGCTGCTGGCGTCCAGCACGGCCACACCATCGCGCACCTCGCCCATGATGACCAGAGGCCCGTCGCCCGCCGTCATGTTGGGGCAGGGGCAGGCCCAGTCCATGCCACTCAGCGTCACCTCTAGGTACTTGGTGCCCAAGAACTTGAGGCCCATCTTGTCATCCTTGAGCACATCCTCGAGCGCCACGCGGGCGATGCCGCCGGCAGCCTCGGGCTCCTCTAGCACCTCCGTGAGCCGGCCCACGATGGCGAAGTCGCTGCGGCACAGGCTCAGCGCCAGCTTGCTCCGGAGGCGGCAGGCGCGGCAGGGCGGCGTGCGGGGCACGGGGCAGGCATCCTCGCAGCTCTCACGGCTGTGGAAGTTGTTGCCGTTGCCCTCACAGCCACCGTACACGAAGGGATGACACTGCTGCAGCAGCGGGCTGTAGGCCCAGCGCGGCTCCCAGCCTTGGCAGGGGCCCTGCACGGCAGGCAGCACGCAGGCGTCGCCCGGGCCACGGGCACAGGCCTGCTGGCATGCCTCGTAAGTCTCGAAGCCCCGGGCCGCCCCGTCACAGCCACGGGCCGGGAAGGTCATGCACCTGCCCCGCTGTGGGTCAAAGTGCCAGAGGACAAGGTGTGGGGAGGTGGGGCCCGTGCAGGCCTGCACATCCGGCAGGCACTCGGCGGGGGCTGGGATGCTGGGGGCTCTGTCCCTGGCCGGCTCTCGCTGGACCACAGAGAGTGGGAAGTCAGCCCGCAGCAGGCCAGCCGCATTGCGCGCGGTGCAGGTGTACAGGCCGGCGTCTTCCAGCCGCGCGTTGTAGAGCACCAGCTGCCCGATGCTGGTGACCACTACGTTGCCATACATCTGATCAGGGCGCATGATCAGGTTCTCCCGCTGGTGACTCTGCTTCTCCCAGGTCACGGCAGGCGGCGGGCGGCCGCTGACGTCGCAGTGGAGGCTGGCCGTACCCCCGACCTGCACCGCCTGTGGGGAGGGGCTGCTGTACAGGGCCGGAGGCATGGGCGCGGCCCCAGGTGTGGGGCGGGCAGTGGTCTCCGGCGGACCCGGGCTGCTGGGGGGCCAGCTGAGCACGTGTTTGCAGGGCACGATGTGGAGGTGCAGGCCCCGAAGGCAGGCCTCGGCGTCCATGTAGCAGCGGTTGTAATAGGTGAGGCCGTCCGAGGCGCAGGTGAAGCTGGGCTCCTTCTCACAGCGGTCACGGCAGCGGCACACGGGCTGCCCATCCCAGATGTCGCAGTCAGAGCCCTGCTGTGGGCATGCAAAGCCCTCGCAGGAGGCCGCTGTTGTGGGTGCGGCTGGGCTGTCGGGGAAGCGTGCTGCCACGCAGCTCTGCAGTCCACACACGTTGGTGCAGCACTTCTCAGCAGTTGCACAGTCCTGGGGATGGGGGACACTTAGGTGGGAGTCCTGATGCCCCCCCGCCCTGGGGGCTCTGGCCAGGCCCCTGCACAGGGAGTCCCAGGTGGGGTAGCAGGGAGCCCCCTGCTCTGTGGCTGCCACCAGGGCCGCCTCCCCAGGGACTCCCTGTCCTTTCCATCCCCTGTGGGGAGCCACAGAGCCAGAGGTGCCACCTGGCTTCACCTTCCAGAATCCTCACACCCCCAAGCAAGTTCCATTATTCTTCGTACATTGTACAGATGAGGAAACTGAGGCCCAAGGAGGGCGTACAGTGCTCAGGGCCACCCAGCAGGTGGTGCAGGCCAGGACAAAGGCTGAACATTGGCTGCAGCACCCCCATCACCGTCTACACTGGTCCCAGATGAAAGGAGAAGGTGGGAGGAGAGGATGGGAGGAGTGGGTGGGAGGAGAGGGTGGTAGGAGAGGGTGGGAGGAGAGGGTGGGAGGAGAGGGTGGAAGAGGGTGGGAGGACAGGGTGGGAGGAGAGGATGGGAGGAGAGGGTGGGAGAGGGTGGGAGGAGGAGATGGAAGGAGAGGATGGGAGGAGTGGGTGGGAGGAGAGGGTGGGAGAGGATGGGAGGAGAGGATGGGAGGAGAGGATGGGAGGAGAGGATGGGAGGAGAGGATGGGAGGAGAGAGTGAAAGAGGGTGGGAGGAGAGAGTGAAGAGGGTGGAGGAGAGAGTGGAAGAGGGTGGGAGGACAGGGTGGGAGGAGAGGGTGGGAGGAGAGGATGGGAGGAGAGGGTGGGAGAGGGTGGGAGGAGGAGATGGAAGGAGAGGATGGGAGGAGTGGGTGGGAGGACAGGGTGGGAGGAGAGAATAGAAGGAGAGGATGGGAGGAATGGGTGGGAGGAGAAGGTGGGAGAGGGTGGGAGGAGGAGATGGAAGGAGAGGATGGGAGGAGTGGGTGGGAGGAGAGGATGGGAGGTGAGGGTGGGAGGAGAGGATGGGAGGAGAGGGTGGAAGAGGGTGGGAGGAGAGAGTGGAAGAGGGTGGGAGGAGAGAGTGGAAGAGGGTGGGAGGACAGGGTGGGAGGAGAGGGTGGGAGGAGGAGATGGAAGGAGAGGATGGGAGGAGTGGGTGGGAGGACAGGGTGGGAGGAAAGAATAGAAGGAGAGGATGGGAGGAATGGGTGGGAGGAGAGGATGGGAGGAGAGGGTGGGAAGAGAGGATAGAAGAAGAGGCAGTAACGGGGTGGGGGGGGATCGCCAGTGGATGATGATGTCCAGGGTGGGGGAGAGGCACATGGGGAGCATGAGAGCTGGAGTGGGAGAGCTCTTATTCTTAAATGAGGGCAACGATGGGAGTGTCTCTGGGCCCCTCAAGGGGCCCAGACCCAGACACCAGCAGAAGTCTGGGGAGCCCGGGCAGAACGTGGCGCTTCCAGTAGGGTCTTGCCCAGGCTGGCTGCCCCAAGCCCCAGGACCCCAGCCCAACCACACTCACCTGGTCCCCGCTACACTCACGCTCACAGGTGCTCTGGGCGTCCACCCACAGGTTGGGGCTGAGCTGGTTGGGGCACACGCCTGGGTGGCTCTCTGGCCCTGGCAGCAAGCCGGCCCCCGAGGTCAGCCGGAGGAGGAGCAGAAGCGGCAGGAGTGGCCGTGAGGCAGGCATGGGGGCCGCTGAGCCAGGGGGCTGGGGGGTGTGGCCACCAGCCCCTCTTCGGGCTCCACTGAGCCCAGCTTCCTGCAGGCATCCACCCTCCGGGCCTGTGGTTGGCGCCCCCACCAGAACCCCGAGGCTCCCTTTCACCCCTGAGGCCAAAGCTTGCAGCAGATGCTTGTCCTGACGCCCCTGCTGGGTGGGTTACAGGGTCTCCAAGTTCTCAGAGGCCGTCTGTGTGACGCTGGTTCCTCTCCAGCTTCAGCCTGGCCCCTCTGTCTGAACCGTGCGGGGGCTCCCCGGCCCTGGTCAGCACAGGGCAGAGGGGAGGAGGTTAGGGAGGGGCCAGAGGCCCAGGAGCACAGAGCCACTGGCCATGAGGGTCACCGGGGGCGGAGGAGGGCTGGCTCTGGCTGGAGAGGGGGAGGGGAGGGGACCCTGTAACCCGAACCCCCTCCTCCACCCCTGGGCTGAGATCAGTCTCCTTGACGACCCTCAGGAGGGTGGGGGCAGGGCCAGCAGATCCCAGCTTTTGTCCCTGACGCCCTCTAGACCCCAGGCTCCCATGCCGTGGGGTGGCAGGCACAGGCCCTCCCTGCGGAGTGTGGCTGATCACAGCCTGGGTCCCTCAGGTCAGGTCCAGGCTGGCAACGGTCACGTGTGTCCGGGTTGGGCCGAGGGCTTCACTCTGCTCCTTTGAGGTTCCTTCCCGTTCCACGGCTGTTGTAGGGGCACAGGGGCCTGCAGGACGCCCAGCACAGCCCAGTCTTCTCTGCTCTGCTGCCCCTGGTGGGGTGGGGCCCAACCCGGCAGGACTGCATTCCCAGAGACCCCATCCCTGAAACCAGGCTGCGGGCTTGGGGCTCAGGCCCGTCCCCAAGGCGGGGCAGGTGCAGCAGGAAGAGGCCTGTGGCCGCCCACAAACATAAGAACAGCCCCACACGCTGACGCCGGAGCCTCGGCCCACGCACTGCGCAGCCCTGGACGTGGCTCTGCGTGGATGGCGCCGCGCGAGGGAAGGCCAAGTGTAAGGGCGTCTGCAGCTGGAGAGAGCAAGTGTCCTGGGGCACCAGAGCCTTGCCCTGCCCCAGGCCCCCATCAGCGGGGCATACATCCCCGGGCTGGCTCCTCCTCGTCCGGGAGGGCAGGGGGCTGGCCTGGCTGGTGCAGGACAAAGGTCTGCCTGGAATCTACCCTTCCAAACCCTCTGTGGCTCCAGAAGTCTGGGGCCTCAGGGAGGGTCCCCCTGACCCTGTGTCTGACCTCTGACCCGGGAGGCAGGGTAACAGGAACGTGGTCTGGTCAGAATGAGACCCAGAGATGCCTCCAGGCGCCACAGTCCCTGCTCTACAAGGGGACGGGGGTGGGGTAGCTAGGCCTGACCCAGCTGTAGGCGGCTGGGCTGGAGCTGCCATGGAGGGGCTTAAGGCCTGGATGAGCCCAAGAGACAGCAGAGGGAGGCACCTGAGCCTGAGGCTGTGGTCCCTGTAACAACTGGACACACCTCCGGGGTGTCCACACAGCCCTGGGCCAGGCATGGCAGGCAACCCAGATTGGTCCAGCGTGCAGGCTGCTCTCTGCTGAGGGGGCTGACTGGAGGGCCTGGCCCTCTGGGGTCCTGCTGCTGTTGGGGACAGTTCACCCAGGCCATCTGCTGCCATGGGCCGTGAGCGAGGGCTCGGTACAGCCCAGCTGGGATCCCGTCCACTGGGAAGCGGAGAATGGCCATGACCAGGCCCAGCCGCTCCAGCCCAGCTGCAGCCCTCACTTTTTCTTGAGGCAAACCCAGCTAAATGCCGCAGCTCGGCCCGGTCAGCGCAGGGGACAGCAGGCAAAACAAAGGCCAGAGGTCAGTTTGCCTGGTACAAAGCAGCACTGGCCCCTGGCATGGGGCACCACCACCGCCAGACCCACCCCACCAGACACAGCAAAACGTGGGGACCACAGCCGAGTCCCATTTACTGTACAAAGAACGGTTCGGAAAGAACCAGGAATGGTGGAGCGTCTAACAGCAGTGCGGGTAGTGTTGATGCCGTGAACGTAGGACCATGTAGGTCCTCAGAGTCTGTGTGGTTTGTTCATAATCCCAAACAAGGGCCCTGCTGGCAGCAACAGGACAGGTGGGGCCAGGACAGGGAGGCTGGAGCAGGAGGCCAGTGTCTTTGGGGACTGTGGCAGGGCCGCCTGGCCGGGGTTCCCTTACTCATCTGGCAGCTCATGCAGGCCACAGCCCTCATCTCCTGGGAATGGGCCATGGGGCGAGTCCACTGGTGCCCAGTAGCACCCTCCATGGGACCACCTTGGGAAGCGTGCGCCGTGGAGTCCACCACGGGGGTCCTGGGTCCCGGAAGGGCTCCTTCTGCGTGCTGGCCATGCCGTGCTGTGTGGCCCGAGGGCAGGAGGTAGAGGTGAGCACCAGTGCTGTGGGTAGGCCCAGGCAACTGCTACCCTGCAGAGGGGCTGCTGGGGCAGGCGTGGGCAGAAGCACTGGGTGGAGGAGCGGCCAATGGCTTCAGGAGAGAGGTGGCCGGCCCTGCGTGCCTGGGGCTCAGCACGAGTGCCGGGCTGGTGGGCCTTCGAGGAGGGGCCTAGGCTCCCAAGGTCCCCAGGTGGACGTGGACGTGGATGAGGTGGTTCCAGGCATGTCCCTTAGAAGGTCAGGATGGTTCTGATGCCGTGCGACCTCACAGGAGAGCTGCAGCTGTGGGGACCCCAGGGCCAGCGACAGAAGCTGCCGAGAACAGGAGGTTGCACACAGGTGCCCGGGGTCCGGATGCCACCACCCATCGAATATTCATAAGACTACAGATAGCTCTGCACTCTCCAGAGTGGGAGAGATGATGATCTGAGTTTTGAGTGGTCAATGTCCCCGAAGGGGTCACATCACAGCAGGAAGGTTCTCAGTCCCACGTGGGGAGGGATTTGGGGAACAACAAAAGTATGGGCTCCCAGGCACACCTTTCTCCTCTCTCCTGAGTGCTGGTTGGGCTCTGACCACAGGACCACACCCTCCATCCACTGCCAGCACAGTGACCACTGAGGTCACCCAAGCTTCCAGAGGAAGCACCGGCCCCGTCTGCTCCCCCGGCCTCTGGGCAGCCATGCCACTCGCAGCGCACAGATTCACAGGACGCTTTGACCATCGCTGCTGCGAATCCCCTCCCGAGGCGTCCCAAGTGCACCCCCACAGCTGGCGTGGCCACGAAGTCACCAGCGCACCATGGGGCCACACCCAGGCTTCCCTGAAGGCCCCTTAAAATGTACAAAAAAGGTGAAGTGTTCTCTATATAAATAAGAAAGGCGAGCCAGGCTCCCCGCCGGTCGAGCCCAGGCAGCTGGGGAGGCCCGGCTTGTTTCACACCAAGAAGCACCAGCAGCCCAGCCGCGCCCCCTCCTCCCGCCTGCCGCACGTGCTCCGTGCATGCTGCTCCTCGCACCCGGCTCAGGTGTGAGGAAAGCCCAGTGCTTCTGAGGCAGCTGGTGTGGCCAGTCTCCACGCAGGTGGCACTGGCCCGGCATCCAGCCAGAAGCGTCCAGCTCGAGCCCTCCCAGCATCTGCACAGGCGGCTCTGCCCGTCCCTGCTAGGAGATCTTGCAGTTACTCCGCGAGCAGTTCTGGGGGGGGCTCTGGGGCGGGCGGATGGACTTGGACCTCTTGAGGCTGTTGCCCTTGCTGCCGCCGCCCCCGGCCCCGCTGGCCAGGGAGTAGGAGCGGCCGTGCATCATGACCGCGTTCATGCCGTTGGCCATCGAGAAGGACTTGAGGTGGCTCTTGATGGTGACGGGCAGTGGGAGCTTGTCGATGAGGTGCACGGGGGTGCAGGAGACGATGGCCCGGCAGCAGAGGTCCTGCAGGCTGAACACTGCAGGGCAGAGGGGGTGTCAGACCATGGGGCTGTGGGGGAGGCCCGGCCCTGCGCAGGGAGACCTGAGGTGCCCAAGAGAAGCCCGGCAGGGTCTCCACACTCCTAGTGGTGTCCCCTGGACTGGGATCCTGGAGGACCTGGATGCCCAAACTCCTCTGCCCAGCACAGATGTGTCCACTGCCATACCATCCCCTGCCTTGCTCCCTAAAGCCAGGCACACTGGGCAGTGCTGCTGTGGGGCTTCCCGAGGCCACTCTGCCCAGCTCCTGGCCTGGACGCTGCAGCTCCCAGCGTGAGGGCTGCGTGATCTGGCCCTTCGAGCCGACCTGCTCTGGAGCCTCTGCTGTATCTCTGGTTGGGTTTTGACTCAATCTAGCTTGACTGTCACCAGCTCCAGTCTGCAGAGCTGGGGAGAGGAGCTCCATACGGGTGGGGGCTGGGTTATGCTGACCTGGGGTACAACCAGGCTCTTCACAGCTCCCTGTGCTTGCTTTATGGCTTTTTTTGTTTTGTTTTGTTTTGAGACGGAGTCTTGCCGTGTTGCCCAGGCTCGAGTGCAGTGGCGCGATCTCCGCTCACCGCAACCTCCTCCTCCCGGGTTCAAGCAATTCTCCTGCCTCAGCCTCCTGAGTGTCTGGGATTACAGGCGCCCGCCACTGCGCCCAGTTAATTTTTGTATTTTTAGTAGGGCTTCACCGTGTTGGCCAGGCTGGTCTCGAACTCCTGACCTCAGGTGATCCACCTGCCACGGCCTCCCAAAGTGCTGGGATTATAGGCATGAGCCACCGCGCCTGGCCCGTGCTTCCTCTTAAGAAGGACAGTGACACCGTCAGCCACCCTCTCTCTGTCCAGTGGTGAACCCTGCCGGGAGGCACCACAGAATCAACAGTACCTTCCTGAGGGGGCTCCACTGGGACCTCTGATCAAGGACGTGGCCTCCCAGGAAGAGAAAATGAAACAACATGAAGCTGCAGGCATGGCTCCTGTGCCCCCCTGACAGCAGGATGCCAGCCCCAGAACCAGGGAAGGAGTGAGAACACACTGCCACACCAGCAATGCCGGGGACCCACAGGAATGGCAGAGTGCAGCTGCCACGGCGGCACCCTGAGGGAGGTCACCAGCTCCTCCTGTGCCCCCCGGTGCTGCTGCCTCTCCCCCGAGGCTACTCTTACCAAGTCACTGGCCTGCTGCCGGCTGAGCCCCTACTGCACATGGCCAAGGGACCTGCCTGAACCTTCCTCACTGGCCCCCGGCCCCCCTCAGCCTCCACGTGATCAGGGCAGCCCGGGTTTGGGGACCACAGGGCTGGCGGGCACCCGCCCACGCACCTCGGTTGGGCCTCCAGATCTTCTCCATGCCATGCCGCATGAGCACGATGCGGGACAGCTCCGTGAAGGACTCGATGACATTGAAGTTGCACAGGGGGCTGACCTCAAAGAAGGTCATGCAGTTCTTCTCTGCATACGCGCGGGCCTGCTCCGTCGGGACCTGCCGCTTGAAGGCCAGGTGTAGCCGGTTTCCAACCAAGATCCGGGGCACTCCGGGTGCGTGCTGGGGGCACAGAACTCAGCAGAAGCACAAACGCAGGGCGCCACCCACCCCTCAGCCGCAGCAGGGCCCGCCCTCACTGTCTGGCCTATGACGGGGTGGGGGCCGTGGGAGGTTGAGGTGGGCAGAGCCCAGGGCTCAGGCCCCACAGTGTAGGCCCTTCCAGGTGGCCCCGTAGCTCCTGGTCTTGCCGGGCTCCATGCCTGGCCGTTGCGTGCACAGTGACCAGCACGCCCAGGTGTAGGCCATGGGACAGTGCAGGGTGCAGAGCCAGGGCCACAGGAGGGGTGGCAGGCGGGAATCCAGAGCCTACCTGGGGCCCAGGCACCTCCATCCAGTCTGCCTTCCCCGGGAGGGCTCCCCGGACCCAGGCCTACCTCATCGATCTCCTTGATCCAGCGGTCGATGCCGTCAAAGGACCAGCGGTTGGTAATGTCATACACCAGAAGGATCCCCTGCAACAGAGACTTGGGGGTCACCAGGGGTCACCGACACGCACGGCCAGCCCAGGCCCAGGGACTCTCAGGTGCAGGGGTCTCGGTTCCTGGGCAGGGCCAAGGATACTTAGTACTTGGCGGACGGGCAGATGGGCGCTGCCCTCCACACAGCTGGTGCAGCCCTGCCCCCCACCTCTGCCCTCACCCGGCAAGGACTGCAGCAGGAGGGTGGGTGCCTTCCATGGTGTCATAAATGCTGCCTCCCCTCCCTCCCCTGGAGCCATCAGCCTGTGGAAGCTTCCTGGGCAGGCAGATGAGGGGTCCTGGCAGCCGGGGGACGTGCAGCTGTGGAAGCAAGTGTCCTCTCGGCCAGTCCATCGGTGAACCCTCCTGGGGGCACCCGGGACAGAGCTGAGTGGGGACATTTCTGAGTTTTCCAACCTAAAACTTGCAGAGCAGAATTCCAGTCCCTCCAGGACAGTTTCTGCGAAGCTCCCCCAGCCAGGCAGAGCAGGTTTTGCCACGGGGACTTTCTGCCATATCCCTTGGAGACCAATTACTTGGAGCTCAGCTCTGGGCTGTTTCCACCTGCCCTAAATATCTCGGCAGTGACAGTCATGGCTCCCCAGCAGCACCGGGGAGCACACTGCTCACACTCAGTGCCCCGTTGGGCGAAATGGTAACATCACAGGCCCATTCCCCCACACCCGCCGCTCCCCAACGTCTACTCCCACCCTATAATTCTGCAACCAGATCCAGCCAATGAGCTGGGATCCACCCTACTCCTAGGCTGACAAAACCTTCACTTAACCAAAGAGCCTATCACACAAGGGGCTGAGGTTGCAGGAAGAGGGCACTGTCCATCTGAAAAATAGTGTTTTTGGAGCCTCTTAGAACCATCTTTTGATATCTAGAAGACTCAAGTGTAGCCCCCAGGTCCTGTTTAGAACAAGACCG